ATATATATATTTCAGTTTTTAACTTCACATTTTTATTAAAAAAAGAATTATACTAAACATAATGTTTCACGTCTATCATGACGATCCTCAGTAGCTACAATTCTTTGAACAACTACAATTCCAAGATTTTTTCATCACATATTGCGTATTTTCTAAAAAATTATTACAAATATTTCTTTGCAATAATTTTCCCTTTTAAAAAAAAATACAGCACTCAACTGCAATATACAAATTATTAGATATATGTATACATAGGAATATAATTGATTAAAATTTTCTAATTTGTATATTCCATGTTAAATATTTAGTTGACAATCAAATAATTAATATTTACAGATAATTAATATCAAAATTTAACATTGAACAATAACATTATCTCGAGTTTTGAAATTACACAACTTTAAAAATTTAAACCATCAAATTTAGACATAAGTAGATAAAATGCATATACTTATAATGACTTGATAATTAGTTGGGTTTCCTTTCATGCAAACTTTTTTTTTGAAATACAGGGAAGAGGGGTACATTGAAGCGGTGACATGGAAACGCCTCAACACGGAAACGGATCTAAAATTATTTTTTAGGAATTTCCGGTTTTTTTTAATTCGAGGAAATCCCACAAAAGTTCAGAATTGTTCAGAATTGAATGATTTCCTCTTTTTTTACGTCTGCAGTTTCCTCTATTTTTAGGTCCATTTCCTCATATTTTTTATCCATTTCCGCTTTTTTCAAAATTTAAAAATTGATCTATTTCCTCGTAGTTTTGATCCAATTCCGCCTTCTTTTAAAAACTTTTAAAAAGCTCAATTTGTTGATGGGTTTCCTCAAATTTTAAGCTTGTTTCCTCATATTTTGATCCGTTTCCGCTTTTTTTCAAAAAATCAAAAAGCAAAAACAAAATGGGATTTTTATTTTGAAAATGTTTATAAAATAGATGATAGTAAATGTTATTATAAATTAGATTCTTGCCAACATTACTTAAAGTTTGCTTTCCCGATCTGACAACTGGCATATTCAATAATTTTACTTTTAGACGTGGTAAAAACGTGTTGTGGCAAGCTGGAAGAAGAAGGACACCTGGGAATGAAAGGAACTGAGACAAAGCAAGCTCTGGAGTTCTATGTGAAAATCTCGGGAAATATTTACAATTAGCCTGGAATGAACCCCATCCTGTCCCATTGTACAGCTTTTGACAACCAAGGACAAGTTTGAAGTGGTCAAATACATGAAAACATCGAACTTCTTCAAGGCACTTATGCCCAGCAAGTACATTTACAACTGTGTTGTAAATGATATGGGAGTTAAGCTTATTTTGAACAAAGAAGAGATGAACAATTTAGAACTGATAAGAGCTCTGATGCTAAAATGTGACGGTACAACATTCATGCAAGCTATTTTGAACTAACCTAACCCTGCAAACATTTAGTTTCCAACAAACCGATGGCGAACATATAAAGTCCAGAATTATCTACCCGGCAACTTCGCCATCGGCACATAAAGTCGGTAAAAATGTTTCCTGGGTAAGTGAATTCAATCTGTGTCATTAAATCATTTTTTATTTCAGAATTTCTAAAAAATGAGAAGTGGAGCAGAAATTGTACGAACTTCAATGAGGCAGAAAACCAAAGAAATGTGTTATTATGAAAATGGTATAGGTAAGTCTCTGATTTGTTTAAAATTGGCCCCTAAACCCTCCTCCAAAAATGAAGAAATGGACCAATTAAAGTTTCACATAAAGTCTCTTTGTTTATTTTACATAAATGACCCCCCGGGGTTAGTAAAAGATGAAAATAAATTCCTCTAACAATAATAAGGACACAGAGAATCTTTGGTTGATGGTTTTGTATTTAAGCATTATTATTTCGTACATTTTTATTTGCTTGAATTAAGAATAATAGATTTTTACCATTAATAACTTAAAATATTTATATATTTTTTTTTAGAAATTGAGAAACATGATTTTCTGCAGTCTGCGTTTAGGAGAAGAAAGAGTAAACATAAACACGGAAGAAATCCCTTTCATAAATGTGTGTACACTGCCACTACAGCAAGTAATCTCAGAAGACATAGTATGAGTAAGCATGAAGGAATAAAATATCCCTGTGGTAATTGTGGTTACGCTGCAACTACAAAAAGTGATCTCAGAAGACATACTAATAGTAAACATGATGGAGTTAGATATCCTTGTGAAGAATGTGAATACACTGCAACTACAACAAGTGATCTCAGAAGACATGCTTTTAGTAAACATGAAGGAATTAAACATTCCTGTTATAAATGTGTATATACTGCAACTACAGCTAGTGATCTCAGAAGACATGCTAAGATTAAACATAAAGGAGTAGGATATCTTTGTGATAAATGTGTGTACGCTGCAACTACAAAAAGTGATCTCAGTAGGCATTTTAAGAGCAAGCATGAGGGAGTAAGATGTCCATGTGGCCAGTGTGAGTACGCTGCTCCAACAGCAAGTGATCTCAGAATACACATTATGAGTATCCATGAAGGAATGGCATATCTCTGTGGTAAGTGTGAATACGCTGCACCTACAGCATGTGATCTCAGAAGACACATAATGATGCAGCATGAAGGAATAACATATCCCTGTGGTAAATGTGGTTACGCTGCAGCTACAGCAATTGATCTCGGAAGACATTTTAAAAGGAAGCATGAATTTCCTTGTGAAAAATGTGAGTACACTGCAACACTACGTAGTAGTCTTAGAAGGCATATTAAGAGTAAACATGAAGGAGTAAGATATCTCTGTGAAAATTGTGAGTACACTGCCACTACAGCTGGTGATCTCCGAAGACATACTAAGAGTAAACATGAAGGAGTTAGATATCCTTGTAATAAATGTGAGTACACTGCCACTACATCTGGTGATCTCCGAAGATATACTAAGAGTAAACATGAAGGAGTTAGATATCCTTGTAATAAATGTGAGTACACTGCCACTACATCTGGTGATCTCCGAAGATATACTAAGAGTAAACATGAAGGAGTTAGATATCCTTGTAATAAATGTGAGTACACTTCCACTACAGCTGGTGATCTCCGAAGACATACTAAGAGTAAACATGAAGGAATTAGATATTCTTGTAATAAATGTGAGTACACTGCCACTACAGCTGGTAATCTCCCAAGACATACTAAGAGCACACATGAAGGAGTTAGATATCCTTGTAATAAATGTGAGTACACTGCCACTACAGCTGGTAATCTCCCAAGACATACTAAGAGTAAACATGAAGGAGTTAGATATCTTTGTAATAAATGTGAGTACACTGCCACTACAGCTGGTAATCTCCGAAGACATACTAAGAGCACACATGAAGGAGTTAGATATCATTGTAATAAATGTGAGTACACGGCCACTACAGCTGGTAATCTCCGAAGACATACTAAGAGCACACATGAAGGAGTTAGATATCCTTGTAATAAATGTGAATACGCTGCAACTTCAGCAAGTGATCTCAAAAGACATACCAAGAGTAAGCATGAAGCCGAGAGTATTCATAAAGAAATGACTTATCCTTTAGACAAGTGTGAATACAGCATATATTCTTAAATAACATATGAAGAGTGAACATGAAGTAGGGATTCATATATGAGAGTATAATGAAGGCATGAGTTATTTTTTCAATAAATGTGAGCACGCTGCAGCTACAGCAAGCGATCTTAAATCACATATCAAGAGTACAGAAAAGAGTTATCTTAGAATTTAGTTTTAATCAATCTATGAAGAAATCTTGGATACATGATTGTTGGAATACCTAAGTCCTAAGTGTACAGAAGAAATTCTGTGCCTCTGCATTTTTGGAGTGTATAATATAAACAATATGATATTTTGACAAAAGAAATAAAAATTTGAGATACATTTTCAAGTTTGGACATTTCATGGAAAGACATTTCATAGGTAAGAAAAGAATAGATAGGACATTTCATGCACAATATACTTCATAAAAAGAATAACAACAGTTGTCCGTTACCACAAAGAATGTTGGAACATATCTTGGATATGCATTTCATAGACATAGTCAAACTTACACTATATTAAACACCAAGAGAGATAATTATGGGAAAGGAAAAGGTTTATCGGAAATATTAAAATTCTGCTTTTCTACTGAAATGTCCTATCTATAAAATGTCATATTAATAAAATTTCCCTTGTCACCATCTAAGAAATGTTCATCCTATAGAAAAAAAAAACACCTTCTTGGTATGTGCAGGAAGCAATGCCGAGATAAGTAAAGAGTTAATTATCATAAATTTGTTTTAATTAAAGTTATAAAGACGTCCGACTCCTCACATTTGATCTCATTAACTGAACTTGCAATTTTATTTTGTATTCTTTCGTGCTGTTTTTTGGAAACCTTTCACGAGATTACTAGTTGCTGCTCTTAAACATTAAGATGTATTTATTTTGTCGCAACTTTGTAATAATTTATTCGGACATAAAGATTATTTTATTTATTTAGAATGAAACAAAAAACTTTTTTTTTTTGTTACATTTCAACATTTTTAGCTGATGGAATCGGAAATATCATGGAAAAGAATACATAAAAATCACAATAACTTAATATTTTTTAAACTTCCTTGTTTGTATTTTAAATAAATTTTAGTTGGTTGTATTTGTATTAAATATCCCCGAGTACTATATCAGGGAAACCTGATACCTTATCTTTATTCCTTAAAATATTCATATTATACTTATTCATATCATAATATTTATTCATACTTAATGAACTTTATCGTTCATGAACCTTGTAAATATATATATGTCCTAGTTGGGTGCCCGCTACTTCGGTCACCCTATTTGATCTGTAACCTTATGTTTCAAGAAACAGTTAAGTGTAAAGTTAACAGTTAAGTTAAGTGTTAAGTTGAATAGACCTGGCTAAAACCCTAGGTAGAGAAGACAGAAATATACTGCGTTTTCTGTAGTTAAATTTGATTCTGAAACACTGGCATTTTGTGACATTTTTGTTTTTGCGCCATATAATAAAGAACATTGCCAAAGCAAGTATTAAATTTTTTTCAGAACACAGAGAGAGTGCATGAAATGCCATATTTACAAAATAATTAAAACCTTAAAATTTATTTTTCTGCCAAAATTTCTAGTTTAAGTAGCTTTAAAAATTGTTTCTAAAATATAAAGTATTCGTACAAATGATGTATCATTGTATACTAATAATATACTAATCATATTGTGTCTGTATGAAGTCGTCTTTTTTTGTATCCTGGAGAATATTTTTTGTACCCATCCCGGAGAATATTTTTTGAACCCATCCCGAAGAATACTTTTTGTACCCATACTGGAGAATATTTTTTGTACCCATCCCGGAGAATATTTGCTGTACCCAACCCGGAGAATTTTTTTTGTACCCATCCGGAGAATATTTTTTGTACCCATCCTGGAGAATATTTTTTGTACCCATCCTGGAGAATGTTTTTTTTACCCATCCTGGAGAATATTTTTTGTACCTATCCCGGAGAATATTTTTTTTACCCATCTTGGAGAATATTTTTTTTACCCATCTTGGAGAATATTTTTTGTACCCATCATGGAGAATATTTTTGTACCCATTCTGGAGAATATTTTTTGTACCTATCCCGGAGAATATTTTTTTTACCCATCCTGGAGAATATTTTTTGTACCCATCCTGGAGAATATTTTTGTACCCATCCGGAGAATATTTTTTTTACCCATCTTGGAGAATATTTTTTTTACCCATCCTGGAGAATATTTTTTGTACCCATCCTGGAGAACATTTGTTGTACCCATCCTGGAGAATATTTTTTGTACCCATCCCGGAGAATATTTTTTGTACCCATCCCGGAGAATATTTGTTGTACCCATCCTGGAGAATATTTTTTGTACCCATCCTGGAGAATATTTTTTGTAGCCATCCTGGAGAATTTTTTTTGTACCTATCCCGGAGAATATTTTTTGTGCCCATCCTGGTGAATATTTGTTGCACCCATCCCGGGGAATATTTTTTGTACCCATGCCGGAGAATATTTTTTGTGCCCATTCCGGAGAATATTTTTTTTTCTTGATGCACAAATTACTAAAACTATAACAGGTCCGTAGCCAGAGGGGGGGGGGGGGACCCCACTTTCTCCTAAAATGGGGATGCAACGGCGAATTTGCACCCCCTCCCCCTTCTGGCTAATGATAACGTTATATAATATTATTCTGTTTAATAAAGCTGTTCCCTTAGACCAAGCAAATAAACCTTTTTTTAAAAATAATTGTCCTGAGGAGGTAAGATTTTCTGATTGAACTGGTTTGTTGTTCTTTCGCACATGGCAATATACATACATGATACAATGTAGCAATTAAGTAAATAAATAATATGTTCCAGTATGTATTCAAAATTCACTTCCTCAAATTTTGAAAATACTAATTGCCTCAGTTTTAATATTATGTCTAGATAACTCAAGATCAGAAAACGTGAGATAGTAATATCAAAATTATCAACATTTTGTGTCATCCATATATTGTAAAATTTGAGATAAAAACCATGTTATTAAAATAACCCACCAGTGGAAGTACGCTACTGCACTAAATCTTTTTTGTTTTGCTAAAACTTATCTGTGATACTTTGATAAAGTTTATATGGTCAAGGAGAATGGAGATCAAGTTTCTAGAAGGGGATACTTAAAACCCCAAGATTCTAGGTTTTTTTTTTGGGGGGGGGGGATGAACTACGCCTATTTTTATAACGTTAAGTTCAAACAAGAATTATTTATGTTGTTGAAAAATTAGAAACTATTATACACAACATAAAATAACACTATATGTCTTTGCACCCAAAATAATGTCTGTTGTGTGTTATTCCGTCTACTTTTTTTCCTTTATAAACTATTGACCTATTCTCTATACATGAAATGTTTGCACATCAAATACTTTAGGCAAGTCCAAACTCCCCTGTCACCTAGAGAAGGGAAATTGATTTTCCACCATTCAAACCTTGACACTTCACAAATTTAAAGTGTGTTTGCACAAAATGTCAAACTTCGCAAGTTTGAAGTGTGTTTGCTTGCATAACTCGCATAACATATCAAACTTCACAAGTTTAAAGTGTGTTTGCTTAAAATGTCAAACTTCACTACAACAAATTAAATTACTTCTACTAGCGCTGTCAAGTTTTATTTTATAGAAATCAACTGAAAGTTTAGTCTCGGGGTAAAACCATTTTTACATTTAAAGGGACAGTAAAGGAAAAATGAAAGGGGGTATAGGCTGAAAGCTAATCACTTTAGCTCTTGATCGCGACCCATGAAAGTTTTATCTGATGTCCCTGTCTCGAGAAACTGATATAAAACTGTGTTAAAATTATACGAAAATTCATATATGTAAAATTTTGAAAATCTGAAACTTAAATCACGTGACCAGAACGATCACCAATCGCAGAGCAGTATACTGGTCACGTGTCTCCGCCTGTATCACGTGACCACTTTACTGCACTGCCATTGGTGGAATTTCTGGTCAAGTAATACAGACGTAAAAATAATATTATGAATGAAATCTATTGAAAATAGAAACAACAAATATAAAAGTAAACCTAAATTACAATTAGCTTTCTCTGGGATATCATCGTTTTCAGATTGGTTGCTTATTTGCTGAATATGATCTGTTTAAACCTACTACTTTTATACAAAATTGTATATATATTAATTTTCGTATAAATTTGAAACAGTTTTATATCAATTTCTCGAGACAAGAACATCAGATATGACTTTCATGGGTCGCGATCGAGAGCTAAAGTGATTAGCTTTCAGCCTATACCCCTTTTCATTTTTCCTTTACTGTCCCTTTAAGTGAAGATTTGGTTATTTTCATTTTAGATTTTATAGGACTTGGCTTGGATCAAAGGAAGAGCCTTTGCCACCGACTCTAATTTTTTAATAGTGTAAACCTTTGATATTTCAATATTACATTTTCTAATCCTTTGTGAATCAAAGTTTTTAATACCTAAGGTGTTGGGTAGCAAAGATATAGGGATTAAAAGATCAGAGTTTGTGG